TTCGCCTGTGATGTTTCATATAGCAAAAATGCACTAATGGGTAAATTTTATTATTTTTATTTTATGTGTATGCGTGTATTACCTGCATGTATTAAGTGCACCCATGTCGTGCAATGCCCTCAGAGGTCAGAAGAGACTGTTGGATCCCCTGGAACTGGAGTTACATATGGACAGTTGTTAGCTGCCACGTGGGTGCTAGGATTCAAACCAGGGTCTTCTGAAAGAACAACCAGTGTTCTTAACTGCTGAACCACTCTCCAGCCCCCAGAGAAAGCTGAATTTAAATGTGATTTTTATATTACATGTAAAACTAGTAAACTTTTGTTTTATATTTTATTATGTCTTGTGTAAGCAAGGGATAAAGTGTCAATAGATGCACATTGTTTCAACCTTATTCAAAATCAATTTTTTCTTTTTTGTGTTTTGTTTATTTTTTAATTGCATTTATTTATTTAGTGTGTGTGCATATGTGTAGTGCCATGCAGCTCTTGTGGAGGTCAGAGGACAACTTTCTGGAGTTGGTTGTTTCCTTCCACCATGTGGGTCCTGGGAATTGAACTCAGGTTGTCAGGCTTGGTGTCACATGCATTTACCCACTGAGCCATCTCACCAGCCCTCAAATAACTCTTTAAAAGCTCTATGTATTTGACTACAGGCCTTAACTTTGTTCTCTGTTTTCCAATGTAAACACACAGGTTGAGTGCCATCCTTATTTCACCCAGCCAAAGCTCTGGAAATTTTGCCAGCAACATGACATTGTTATTGTTGCATATAGCCCTTTGGGGACCTGTAGGAACCCATCATGGTAAGTAATGCTGTATTCTCTTCAGGATGTCTCTCCTTTGGTGTAGGTATGAAATCAACATGAAATACCATAAAGTCAAATTTACTTCTGGGAGGCCCCGTTCTCTTCTTATGGACAAAACAGGCACAATGCATTAGGCTTTCCTTACAGAATTTATGATGTCTGGGAGGGGTTACTTACAAAGGCATATACCCTTGGGCTTTTCCCCCTACATCTCAGCTGAACTTTCCAGATCTGCAGCTGCCAGACCCCCGCCTGAGATGGCAAAGCTCTCCCCTCTTCCCTGGCTTCTTTCATGTCTATCCTTAGACCCGCCCCCTCATGCAATTGAAGCTGACCTATTGGGTGGGAAAGGTGACTGTCTCTCTCCCTTTATACCGAGTCTCTTAGGGTTCAGACATCCAGCTGTTGCTAATTCCTTCGATGGACACACCTCCCCAACAAGTACTCAGGTGGAATGATTCTAGTTGACCGTGTGAGCTTAACAAAGGAATAACCTTCACAAATCAGGATCCACATTAACAAATTAAAGCTCATAAGACCCTCCTTGATGAGGTTTTAGTTGTTGATTACATTAAATGCATGAAATTACCCATCAGCACCTGAAATGTGCAGTACAAGAATGTTCAGTAAATATAAGAAATGCTCAATAACTGAGTATTATTTGACGAAGAGTTTTATGGCCATGTTTTGAAAGTTTTTGAATTTCTTGATCTCTGTATTGAAGGGCGATACTCTCATGTGGGGAATCCACAGAACTTTAGAAAACCTTCTACTGTGATTCTAAGAGTTGTGTTATTTTTCCTACTCCAGTCTCTGCCTTCCCACTTGTCTGCTTTAGGCCAAGCTCTTGTAAGACTCACTATTTACGCTCTGAATCAGCTCCATACAGTTTCCTCTTTTGACTTCCTCAAGCTAAGAGCAACTCTTTGCTTCATGATTCTTTACCCTCAGAGTAGTTGGTTAGAGGGAACTTCAGTGTCGCAGCCGGTGACAGGGTAAATGGGGACACCAGCAGGGTGACTGATGAACTATTGTTTCCCATCTAAATATGACACTTTTTTTTTAAGGGTGAATATATCTTCTCCACCTTTGTTAAAGGATGAAATTCTAAACTCACTGGGGAGAAAGTACAATAAGACAGCAGCTCAGGTTGCATTGCGTTTCAACATCCAGCGAGGGATCGTTGTCATCCCTAAAAGCTTTCATCCTGAAAGGCTCAAAGAAAACTTTCAGGTAAGAGAATTATGTTTGGAAATGAGGGAGGGTGGCTCTGTTTGCTGTTTTACTCCTGGAGAATGTTCTTAGAAACTGTAACTACCTGTACCTCCACACTGTCATTTTTACATTTCCCCTGTGTCTCCTGCACCAAGTATTCCTCTCAACTATAACCCCCACTCTTACACGCCAAAATCCAATGTAGACACACTCCAGTTTCCTCTGCTCTTTCCATTTATAGCTAACCCCTTGAAGGAGAAGTCTCTTCTCATTGCCCTCCATTCACTCTCCTTACTTTCTCTTAGACCCATTCAAACCAAGCATCTACCCAGGCAGTCTGTGTGGGACAGCTCTTCTCAGAATCACCAAGGACTTCCATGTTGCTAACTCCAGCAGATCTTAGTCCCTGCGGGATCAACCACAGTTAGTACAATTGACCCTTTGTCCTTCTTGGAACATTTAGTGTGATAGAAACCTATAAAAGACACAGGTTTTGAAGACAATATTAAGAGCTTAAGGTTGTTGGTTGGTTGGATGGTTGGTTTTTGAAACAGGGTCTCATGTAGCCCATTCTGATCTCAAACTTGCTATGTAACTAAAAATGATCTTGAATGAAATCTTTCTGCTTTCCTCTCCAAAGAGCTGAGATTACAGACATGACCCAACATACCTGCAGTTAGTTCAATTTTTTAATGTGAAATCTCCATTCACCTAAGACTATCTGCCATAAACACAAAAAGATCACCAGAAATCAATTCACATTAAACAATACAAAACAGAAACAGCATGGAGAAGAATCTTAAAATTAGAACCAAACTTTGTGGAGTTATATTTATTTCATTTGCAACAAAATATTTAGGTCCTACTTGCACATGTACTGATTTCTAGAAGAAACAGAATCAGTGTTGGATTTTTAAGATTTAATTCTGTATATTTGTGTGTGTGTGTGTGTGCGTGCGCATGCACATGCATGTGTGTGCATGTGTGCGTGCGTGAGTGCATGCACGTGCGTGTGTGTGTGTGTGTGTGTGTGTGTGTGTGTGTGTACAGGTGGAGGCCAAAAGGAGGCTCCCTTTGGAGTTGGAATTACCAGTGTTTGTGCACCACCCGATGTGGGTGCTGGGATCCAAACTCCAGTCCCCTGATAGAGCAGCAAAGGCTCTTAACTGCAGAGCCGTCCCTTCAGCCCCTGGCTGTTTTAAAATATACCGGCCAAATTTGTGCTGTAACACAACATGGGTCCTATATTGCATAAAGATTTTGTAGAATGATCATAAAGAGAATAATTTTCATAAAAATTTTGTAGACATTCATCTGAAGGAGATGCCTAATCCTTAGGGATTTTTTCCTAAATCATATTCTTTTGATACCTACCAAAGTAGTTTTTTTTTTATTTTGCCTGATTCTTATTTGGCAAATACTGCGCCTATAATTAGAATAAATCTTCAAAATCCTTCTCATTGACTTCATAAAATTCTGCATAAAATTCCTGGGCTACATAGCAAGACCCTGTCTCAAAATATGAAATAAATAGAATAAAAAGTAATAATAATAAAATTTCAAGATTAGAGAAAAGCTAAAAATAAGCAAACATGAAGACTAGGGAAAATTTTAAAATATTTTATTTACTGTTTTTATTTTATTTTATGTGTATTGCCAGCATGTATGTAAGTGCACCCATGTTGTGCCACACCCATGGAGGTCAGAAGAGGGCATCGGATCCCCTGGAACTGGAGTTACTGATGGTTGTTAGCCACCATGTGGGTTCTGGGAACTTAACCCAGGTTCTCTGCAAGAGCAGCCAGTGCTTTTAACTGCTGAGCCATCTCTCCAGCCCTGGAAATTTTTTTAAGGGTAGGAAGGCAGTAGTGTAGAATAAAATACATTTGGAACTTTAGATTTCCTAAACACATCCTGTTCAGTGCATTTTGGGATTTCTTAAGAGCTGTTCAAAGCAGAACTGTTTCTAATACAAAGATCGGAACAGAAGATCAAGTTCCACACCCCTGCAACTTCAGCCCAGCTCTCAGACACCTACAGAGATGCTCACAGAAGGGCTCCCTCTTTGCCTCTGCTCCCTGGCCCCAAGCTTGACCCCTCTTCAAAAATATTTTGTCTTTTATTTTCATTATTTCAGATCTTTGATTTTTCTCTCACTGAAGAAGAAATGAAGAGTGTTGAAGCCTTGAATAAAAATACCCGCTTCGTGGACCTGCTCATGTAAGTCTTGTAGGATCATTAATTGGGTACTGCTTAGGGAGTTAAGTGTTAACCAACAAGGCTCCTGTGCACTTTGGACTGGGTCTGTAGCAGCACCAGGGTAAAAACGAGCAGCATCTCCTGCATGTTAAATATGCCTGGGTGAACTTCCTTCAACTTGGGTAAAGACATGACAAGAAGCCAGAGGAGGATGAACTCTTCGTGTTAAAGCTACAACACAAAAACTTAAACTGTTTATTTCTTACTAAAAAAAATCAAAGCATTACACAAATTGGAGCAGATTTGCTCTTTTTAGAATTCTGGGAGAGGCCTACTAATGCACCAGCAGAAAGAACAGCAGGTTGTGAACCAAGAACGCAGAATTTGGGGGCTGGAGAGATGACTCAGCAGTTGAGAACACTTGCTGCTCTTGCAGAAGACGTGAACTTGGTTCCCAAAATCCACATGACAGCTAACAACCACCCCTAACTCCAAGGGATCTGATGTCCTCTTCTGGCTCCACCAATATTCGTGTGGTATGCATAAACACACAGAGGCACATAAATAAAAATAAAGTTTTAAAAAGATTTGGAGTTTCAAGCTCTGACTCTCAGCTGACTTTCCCCTGAGAATTTTTCATACTCTGTCAAGGCATTGCCAAATTCAGCCACCCCACTCAAGTAGCCCTCTTCTCTCCAAACATGGCAGGTATGTTAAAATAAAGCTAGTATGCCTTATACACAGATATCCAAATATGTATTTGTATATGCACACTGTTTTTTATTCGTCACTATTTTCTATTAATCTTCACGTTTCAAATCATATCTTTATGTGACCTTCTCTTTAAGCAATGACTTAAAAGTTATCCATTAGAGTGATCCAGATAGTTTGAACACTATTGATTTCTCTATTTTTCATGAGTCAGAAAGTATTCTGGATGGACTGATATTGATTTTCTGAATTACTATAATAAACCTGCTTCCTAATATGTATTTTCCAGGGAGAAAACTGCTTGACATCAAAAAATACCACCCAGGCCCCAAACAAAAGAGAAAATATAAATATATGATGTCTTGCCAAATACTGAGTTATAAACTAAGTTATAAGTTATGTTAATAGCTCTTGAAAATACATGATTTCTTTTGAAGACATATCATTCATTTAAGAAGAAATGAAGCATAATGAATATACAATCTACTGTGTTTTTATACTGACAACATTATTTGATTTGCATTTCACATACTGATCACCAAGTTTAACAACATTTGGTGGGGGAATGACTCATGCTTACAGAAATAACTAGCATATCAACAAGGGGATACAGAGATCAGGCCCCATTAGTCAAAAATCCATGTCATTAAGGTGTTCTGGGCTATGATTCTTTTACAATGTTCATCCTGTTGATTCTGTTGATTGGAGAGTCCTGTTTGAGGTATATTTTAAGGTTGACGGTGCTTTTAGAGAGCTAAATCTTCGGTATGTTCCATGGCAGAGATACATGCCCTCCAGACACTGTAGATTCTGTTATTTAAGAGGTGGGAGCAGTATTATTGTGCTTGTTATTACAGATAGTAGCACTTCACATGCAAGCATGGCAGCTAAGATGCTTCCTTCTCTTTTCATCCTGAATAAAATGATGGAGCAGGAGCTAACTTTTCCATGCCCTACTACATGCATGCTCACTTCAGGGGAAGGTCCTGGCTTGAGGAGAAATGGTGAAGGCCGTGGGGGAGAAACAAGGGAGAAATAACCAGGAAGAAGGGGCAGAAAGTGACATTACCAAAGGATTCTGGGAGCTTAGTGGTGCCAACTTTCAAGTGAACCATTTTCCTCTTGGGGCATTGTCTTGGCAGATGGAGTGATCATCCTGAGTACCCGTTTCATGAAGAATACTGACAGGGAAGAGTTCTTCAGAAGAGTTTTCTCTCTCATTCAGGATCATGGGCTAATTCCCCACGATGTGAAAGTGAACTGGGCTTTTGCTATCCTGAGGTGAAGTTTCAATGGACCCACATCATGATGAACTTTTGTGTAGTATGGCCTGGCCTTAACTCTGACAAAGAAAAATAAATAAATCTGTCTAAATACTTATTTAATCAATGTCCTTGTGTCCCAGGGGTCTGGTTCCTCCAAGGGGCAGGGCCTGCTGCCGAGAATTGACTGCAGAGAGTTAGCCATGGAGAGAGGGGCTTTGTGGGCACCATTTTGGGACGGAAGCTGGGAACGGTCTTTGGTAGTAGGCATGGAGAGAAAGATGGACCCAGTGATTTTTCCTCCCCCGCATGGACTAGAGAGGGGGCATTTACCTACCTTGGGTGAGACTGCGGGCCCAAGGGCCCAAGATGTGTGGGCAAAAGCTCAAGGAGACTATGGGCAGGGGCAGAAATGATCTGGAATGGTGGCCGAGCTGGGCAGAGCTGGGTGCCGAGTGTTGGGTGTTGGTTTCTTTGTAAATTCCTCCATTTCCCCCCTCCCTACCCAAGATATAAAGTGAAAAATTCAGATCAAAATATGTTATACAGTTTTTCCAACAGTGCTTTGAACAAGAGACCCTGACAAAAGTGAGGGCGGGTCAAACAGAGAGCGGGAAGGTGAAAATTTAGTGGGACAATCCTCTAGATTGTTGACAGAAAAACACTAAACTTTACTTCAAAGGTAGCATTTAAAGACAAATAGCTCATGAATCTAGGACTATCAGAGGAAGTGTGAGTTGTTCAGCAGTTAACAGGACAAGGTTGAGGGGCTAGAATACTTACTTCTAAGTGCTGGTCATGACCTTGATCTACCAATGTGGGCTATTGGTTGCAAGACAGGTACAGCCAAAACATAAATCCAGATGTCATTGTCAACAGGAAGATGATTATTGTTGAGTAAAGAAAGAACTAAAGGTCTAAAAAAGTCTTAAGATAAAGGCAAGAATACAGTAGCATAGGCAGGGGCTGTAGGTCCTCAAAGGATGGAAACTTACTGATTCTTACTTCCTTTTTGTTTGGGGGACTGGGAAGTTGAGATAGGATCTCAGGTTGTCCTTGCTGTCCATGAGCTTATTATGTAACTGAGACTAGCCTTAAACTCTGAACTCCTGGTCTCTCTCACTCCATAATGGCCTGAACTTCCACATAGCTGGTACTGTACCTGTACCTGTACTCTTATAATCACTCTTGCAGCATTCATTAAGAAAACTATTATGTGAGGTAGATGGAAGCAACCAACTTACACAAATAAAACCTTGTATCATAAAACTATCCAAAGACAGTTAAATAGTTTATTATTTTTATTTTATGTATATGCATGTATTGCCTGCATGTAGATAAGTGCACCCATGCTGTGCAATGCCCATGGAGGACAGAAGAGACTGTCAGGTCCCTGGAACTGGAGTTACAGACAGTTGTTAGCTGCCATGTGGGTGCTAGGATTCAAACCCAGATCTTCTGCAAGATCAGTCAGTGTTCTTAACCACTGAGCTATCTTTCTAGCCCCCAAAGATGGTTATTTTAAATGAATGAATTTTTAAAGAAGGCTTTTAGAAGTATTGTTCTCATATGAATACAAAGTGAACGTATACCAGTGATTTCCACTCATCAATGACAGAAACAGCAAGATGATAAGAAATCTTCTATATTAGTTACTTTTTTTGTTGTTGTGATAAGACACCATGACCAAGGGAACTTTCAGAAGTAAGAGGTTATTTGGCTTACAGTTCTAAAGGGGTAAGAGTTCATAATGGTGAGGGGAGGCATTGCAGCAGAAGGTAGTTGGAACAGAAAGCTGATCAGTCATATCTTCAAGCAGGCACAGGAAACAGAGAGAGACTGGAAACTGGCAAGGCTTAAGAACTCTCGATGCCCACCCCCAGTGATGTGCATCCTCCAGCGTGGCCATGCCTCCTAAAGTTTCCGTGACCATTCCAAAAATAGCACCACCAGCTGGGGACCAATGGTTCAAATACTTGGAGCCTACGGGGGACATTTCCATTCAAACCACCACATTTTCTTATACGTAGGCAAGAGAATTACAGATCACCACCACACGAGTAAACCAATTAAAAGGGAAAGGAGTCCTTTGTTGATTAGGACATGGTTGAGAGTGGCTAGTGCCTTTAAAAAAAAAATCCCTCAGCTCTGAAGCTCAGGGTTATAGCATTTATAAAGGCAAAACCCACAAAAATCACAACGGTTTGGACCAGTGAAGGTCAGAGAGACCTTGCTACAATAGTTATTTTGGTTAGACTTCATCAGTTGTTTGAATTATATTTCTAGGCCATCGTCAGCGTTGTGAAAATCCCTGAATGTTTTGCTGGGGGCTAGTGGCTGGGAAGCATGTCAAAGCGGGTACAAACTAAAGTCAGAATTGACTCAAGACAAAATGGAAGGTTGTTTCTTTTTTTCTGTTACTTCGTCCCCCCATTTCTTTTTAGGTGCCTTCAAATCCTTGACTATGGTTAAGAGGTTAATGGAGGTCTCCCTTCATTTCAGACCCTGATTGGAAATAGGGGCATCGTGTGTCAGTCTAATCTCTTCAAGCTGCATGGGGGAAGGGGTTGTTTGGGGTCTGTTGGAAGAGGGAGTCCTCTGGTGGCATGGAGCAGGAGCATAGTCTTGATCTCATCTTAGGTAGCGGCATGGGCAGTCATACAGGTGGCTAAAACCAGGTAATTCTGTAAGAATCTTTGGAGACAGTTGATTAAGCTTGACAGTTGATTGGGCTTGTTTCTCTTGACTGCAGGTAGGCACTGCACTGTTGAATTAGGCCAGGATTTGAAGTCTTACATTTAAGCAGAATTTTTACTATTAATAACAAAATCATTAGTGAGAAATAATTGTCTAATATTTTATAAGAACTTAAGTATAATGCCCAGGAAGTGTAACCCCTTGGATTCTTAAGGGAACATAACAACCATTTTAATATTTTGATTTTACTTTCCCGTCGGGTGCTTAAAGCCATGCAGTTGGCCCAAATTAATTAATTTTTCTTTTTATTGTCAAGGTCAGTTGAGGATATGGTCTTCAAGAGTCATTTGGGCTGTGGGGGGAGTTCCAGGCTCCTTTGGCCTTTGTTTTACTATGTATATGTGAGGATAAGTCAAAGGTCTTGCTTGACCATGGTGTTGACTCTCCTCTTTGTAGACTGAACACTGGTTAAAGTTCATGTAGTAGGGTCTCCATGGCCTCACTGAACAAGAGGACAGGTGACTCATCACAGTTACAGGATATTTTGAGATGTCCCATAGACCCTTGGGACTTAGTTGACCTTAGAATTCAAGGAACAACAACAAAAAAAATGTTCCTTTAAGTCCCTCTGAGCAGCTTAGTATAGGCCTTCAAGTATGATTATTAAACATCCAAAGTTAGTAATGCCAGTCTGGTACTTTAAATTGGTAATATGTAGATAAAGCTTGAACAAAAATCCTTAAACCAGTCTTTATATTTGTTAGTAAGAGCTACTTTAAGTAGAGATCTGACTGAATCTTGACCTTAGAAATTTTAAAAAGGCTGTTCTATTGCAAGCAAAAGCAGTCTCTTTTCCTTCCCAGCCCCCAATACTCTGATTTATTGTCTTTCAGAAGTCAGGGGGATTATATCACATACCTATTGACAGGAAAATCAGCTGATCAGGATCTAAACCAAGCTCACTGAAATTGTGGTTTTCTTCTGGACTCTACCCATCTAGTACAGGAAGGCAAAACATAGCTCCTCTTGAGCCAAATAATCTCATTATGGGCAAAGGAAAGCACCCTGTGTCCTAATGACAACCTGAAGCATGGTTCATAAGGTTTTGGTTTTTTGGTCTTTTTGAGACAGGGTCTCTCCCTAGCCCTGGCTGGCCTGGAACTCATTATACAGACCAGGCTGGCCTTGAACTCACAGAGATCCACCTGCCTCTGCCTCCCAAGTGCTGGGACTAAAGACATCACAACGCCTGGCTTGTATCTCATAAGTTTTATTTTTTAAAATCCCCAAATTAATGCTTACATAATACAGAGAATCACAAAGGACATGTGTCAGTAGGTACAGGAAACACAACAGTGTCTTCATCCATCCAATCTGAGACTATAACTGGGTGTGTGGTACAAGCCAGAGGAGCAGGCTGAACGTTGTTGTTTTTTAACTTCAACAACAATTATCGTAACAACAACTCTGTATCTCTGCAATACCTAGCCACCTGGGGAACAGCGCTTGCTTTTAGTAATTTAACTTATTTTCAGCCCTTCTTTTTGTTAAAGACTATCCCTATAGAGAGGAACAGGCAAGTCATCTTTTGTCTCAGCTGCAAAGAATGTCACAGTAACTGGAAGTCTTATCTAAGGCCATTAGCTAAAGGGAAAAATCTGTCAATGAACAATTTTTCAATGTTTTACCATAAGAAATAACTGCATAACTGTGCACTTGTTACACAGACCATCCCAGGCAGTGATCCACCTGCAGGGAGTGGAGGTATCTGTCACCATCCTGGTTCTCAAAAAACTTCTTAGCAAAGATTTTATCCTATCTACCAAACAGACAAAACGTTTTTAAAAAATATTTTTAATATTTCTCAATTTGGTGTGCCAGGCATGCACCTACTTCCATTACAAACATTTAAAGCTTTCAGTTTTTAAATAAACCTGCTCAGAACTTCATCACTTGCTCAAACGTTCTTATTAGCCCTCTGTCTGGAAGCATCAAGCCATCTTAATTGTCATATATAAATATTTACTAAAACATTTCCATTTTCATAATCTTTTACCATTTCCTTTTGCCTTTTCATTTCCTTTTTTAATACCATGAAACATAATAACATTCATAAACAAATTTGCCACCTGTTGGGAGAATTCACTTTCTGGGATACTAAGCAATTAATGTTTACCCCCTTTTTAAATTTCTAATATTAAGCCAATGTGTGCTTACATTAAAGCTTGCCAATGAGTTTACTGAGTTTACTTTCAGAGGATGGGTGAGGGGTTACTGACAGGTACATGGGTGACCTGAGAGCAGTTGTAGCGGAAAGTTTTTATTTAGCATGGGTGTTGATTTTTCCATAACCTGTTGAGCCCCATCTTCCTAACCTTTTCACAGGCTATGATTAGAGCAAAATTACATGAAACTGGCTGGAAAGA